CCGTCTCTAGGAAGGAGTCGCGATGCGCTGAGATTTTCGTGGATAATAACATCGTTGCTATTACAGACAAGTGGATTTGTGTGAATGACGATCGTCTCCCGGATAATGGAAGGGGGGTGGTGGGGGCGTGGATTAATGTGAACGGTGAAACACTTTTGGCAATGCACTGGCGGAGAGAGGGTTGGGCTGATCGTCGGGGGATACATGGCCATCCTTCAGCAGGCTGGTTGGAGGCAGGTTTTTTAATGCGGCAGGGGGGGGGGCATGATACAATACAATGCGCTGCCAGCCTACCGGCTGTGTGGTCACCCAACCACAAGGCTACCCAGGCTCAAACGCACCGAGGGTGATCTGGTTCTAGGCTTATTTGGGGTGAAATCGGTGCTCGAACCCCGAGTATTATCACCGTAATCTCGAATTTTTGTAACTTGGTGGTAAAGTGTTTGGGCTGGTATTTGGATTGAACTTTTCGCAATGGATGCCGACTGCTAATCGGAGATGGTGTATAGTGGTCCATACTGTATAGGCTTGTCTGATTTGGTTTATTGGGGGTGTATTGACTGAAGCAATCTCCGCAGTGGGTATATCATGGGTTCATGCAGCCACTCGAGGCCGAATTCAGTCTGAAGCTTATTGGACGATTTGCTGCCGTGCCAGAATTTGGCAAGTTTAGTTTCTTTAAATCTGTTCGGACAGTTAAAACACACGTCTGGGTTAACCCAGATTCATTTTCCGTTTTAAGGAGAACTGGTGCTTGAAGCCGACTCCCAATAAAGATATACTAGCTGTACTACCCGGCTTCGCCCGGGACTTGGATCCACCACGCCCGGCCGCCTTTGTCTCCCAAGTGCCGATGTTAATACGCCACACCAGTTACTCGTTTGAGGCTGAGTCGACCTAGGGGAGGTTCAAATAATCGTCACCGGTGGTGGCCGTGAGCGGGAATCGAACTCGGTTCGCCGGGTTGGTAGCGCAGCGTAGCGTTAAGCACTACACCCACCGCTCCTCACACACCACACACGCACAGACACACACACAGACACACGCAGACACACACAGACAGACACAGACAGACACACACACACAGACACACAGACAGCACGCTAAGCACTACACTACCGCTCCCCACACACCACACACGCACACACACAGACACACACACAGACACAGACAGCACGCTAAGCACTACACTACCGTTCCCCCTACACAACACACGCGCGCGCGTCCATAGGTACACATACACGCGCTTGCTGCAGACACACACGACTTTCAGGGTGCGTAAGGCAGTAAACGACTGAAATAATAAAGCGGCAATGCTGTGCGAGGAACGCCTTAGACCAGCAACACATTTGTGTAATGCGAGCGTAAACACACAAACACATACAAACACATACACACACACACATACACACAAACACATACACACAGACATACACATACACACAAACACACACATACATGCACACAAACACATACACAATACACACACACATACATGCAGACACAGACAGACACATAACACACATACATACACACACATACAACAACCGCCATTCGCCACTAAGTGGCGGTGACGTCACCACGATGCTTGTGCCAGGCCAAGTGCACCTTGAGGCCACGTGAAGTGTCGAAAGCCCGCTGGCAGGAGGTCACGGGGCAGACCCAGGTGCCACTGGTCGACTGACCGAGATGACCGAGATGACTGGCTGATGCACCACCTGTGCCCCCTACTGTGCCAACTTGCTGTGCTTTAGCCACCCGGCGCTCCGCTCGTTGTTGTGAGCGTCGCTCCTCCGCCCTCCGTTGTTGTTGGAGGGCGACTGCCTCCAACTGCCCAGTAGCGTCCTTCACGAGCCTCCTCCACTGAGGCCGATCTTGACACCGCTGGTACCAGTCATCGGCAAGTCCACTCAGCTCCACGTCCTCCTGTACCACATCACTCCATCTCTTCTCCAGCCCGTGCCGCGCCCGTCTAGCCCCCTCGATCCGGCCGAACAAAAGCTGTTTAGGCATGCGGTGGCTGGGCATGCGGGCTACATGACCCAGCCAACGCAGCCTTGCCTGCCGGAGGAGCTCACTGATGGGACTTTGCCCAGATCTTTCAAGGATTTGTGAGCTCCTCACACAATCCAGCCTGGTTAAACCCAGGATGGATCGTAGGCAGGCCAGCCTAAATGTTTCCAACCGGCGAAGATGCTCCACCAGGGGGGTCCACGTCTCGCAAGCGTAGAGAAGGGAGGGAATGACCGTGGCCGAGAAGACCTGAAGCTTCGTGCGGAGCGACAGACCAGGTAGCTTCCACACAGCGTTACGCAACCGATGAAAAGATATTGCCGCTCGACTGATTCGGAGTGAGACCTCTGCTGATAGACTGGAGCCGGTCATAAGCACACTGCCCAGGTATGGGAAACTCTCCACTCTCTCCACAACTGCCCCATCACCAATTGGGAGTTGTGGGGGTGGAGTGTCCGATGGTACAAAATACCCAGGCAGGTGCTTGGTTTTGGTGGGGCTGATGGTAAGGCCCCACCTCTTAGTGGCACGCTCCAGTCTCAGCAGCAGCGCCTCCAACTCCTCTTCTGAATGAGCAGCTATTACCAAATCATCGGCATACATAACGTGGTTGACCAATAGGGAGCCATCCCTTGATCGCACCCGGGCGTCGATCAGCCTCCCATTATATCTGTACCAAACGGAAATTCCCCCGGTACAGCTATTGAAGGCTTCACGAACTACGCGGTCAAAATAGATGTTAAATAATGTGGGAGCCAGAGGACATCCCTGTCGCACCCCAAGGTGTACAGGGAAAGGCTCCGACTCCCGGCCACGTAGTTTTACCCGGGCCCGCTCACCATCATGAAGGTCCTTAATGATCGTGAGCAGAGGGTCAGGGACTCCGAAAGCACGAAGAACAACCCAGAGTCCAGTCCTACTGATGGTATCATAGGCCTTGACCAGGTCAATAAAGCAGAGATGTAGGTCTTTTTGGAATTCCCTACACCTCTGCTGTAGCAGACGGACACAAAATATGGCATCTGTGCAGGACCGCCCTTTCCTGAAACCGCATTGGGGCTCCGCAAGCCCCTCCTCAGCGTGCCTAGCAAGGCGATGTTGAATAATCCTTGCCAGGACCTTACCCGGCACACTGAGGAGTGAGATGCCCCTGTAGTTGTTACAGTCTGTGCGGTCCCCCTTCTTAAAGAGGGGGACCACCAGGGCATCCTTCCAGTCCTGCGGAACCCGTCCAGTGGTCCAGACTGTTGTTATGATGTCATATAGGGCAGTCTGTGCACAAACGCCACCCTCCCTCAGACACACACATACATACACACAAACACATGCACACACGTACATACACACATACATAGAGACACGCAGACATACACATAAAGACATAAAAAAAACCCACATACATACACACACATACACACAAACACATACACACATACATAGAGACACACAGACATACACATAAACACAAACACACATACACATGACCCGGCTTCGCCCGGGACTTGGATCCACGATGCCCCGCCACCTTCGTCTCCCCAGTGACGATGTTCACACACGACAGCAGTTACGCTTTTGAGGCTGAGTGGACCTAGGGGAGGGCCAGGTCCGTTTCAAATAATCGTCAGCGGTGGTGGGCGTGAGTTGGAATCGAACTGGGGTCGCTCAAGCAGCTTAATGACTGTTTGTACAAAGAACATATAAAGAATCGATTATAATAACCAGGCAAGAGTCCACATTATAGACTGCCAGTACACGCACTCAGCTTCATAAGCCGGCTAGAGTGTACATGATAGAGTGGCAGTACGCTCACCGAGCTTAATAAGCAGGCTACAGTGTACATGATAGACTGGCAGTACGCTCACCCAGCTTAATGAGTATTTGTACAGTGAACATTAAAGTAATCGATTGTTGGCGCGTTGGGTTTAAAAGTAATATTAATAGCACACATTGTGGTGGGGGTGTAGTGAAGAGTAGGAAAAACTTTGATGAATTTACCTCAGAGTGGCGTGGTGGGTGTCGAGGCCTAGTAGCGTGCAAAGCCTGCGGCCTCGCCTAAAATTGTCGGCTTGGAAGAGGCAGGGTACGGGTGGCGTTCCTTCCCCCCCCCCTAGCGCTCCAACAATACTGTGTAATGGCTATTATTTAATTAAATACGGAGCTTATGAAAGTGGCGAAGGCGTGGCTAGCCGTTGGCAGGGGCAACCGCCGTCCAATGAAACTGCAGCCCTTGGCGAAGGCGTGGCTAGCCGTTGCCAGGTCCAATGAAAGCGGCGAAGGCGTGGCTAGCCGTTGCCAGGGGCAACCGCCGTCCAATGAAAGTGCGTATGGGCCAAAGTCCACACACACACAGACAGACAGACATGAACGATTTTATATATATAGATACTCCAGACTTGAAGCCACATTCTTGGTTCTTTCGGTAAAGTCACGTAGAAGGGATATAATAAAATAAGAAAAACAATAAAATGTTTTTTTTATTCTTGCTGTGGTTTTCACACCTGATGATTGTGTTGCAATCGAAACGTCGTGAGAAATGTATTGTTTAATTTTTATTATTTTCCTTCTACGTGACTTTACCGAAAAAAAACTAGAATATGAATCCCTGCAGTCACGAAAGCTTATAATCGAAATTGAAGCCACATTACAACTGTGTTGTTTTAATTGTATGCAATCAGTGAATGACCTACTGTCCGGGCTGCGGCCCACACGCGGACCACGCATTGGTTCTCCCACACATCCTGTCCGGTGAAAAATCCACAAGCACGTCAGTGGATTGCTGTGGTCTTAACACGAGTTGTCCCCCCTGTAGTACTTTGCGTGTCTGCCAATAAACTATTGTCATGTTGTAAATATGCATAACCCTCCCCCCACCCTATACCGCACCATTTTAGAGGATTTTTTTTATCACCTCCCCACCTCGCACAAAACTTCAAGAGAATTTACCATACAAAACCATGCTCCAATTTTATTTTGAAAAAAAACCGAAAGCCACACTGAAGGGGGGAAAGTTGCGTGGCTTTCATGCAAGCGAGTAAATCTGCATCATTGGCGAGCGCGTCTTCTGCTGTCCCACACCTCCCAGGGGCCGCGTGCGCGAGGCCAAAGTCCAGCAGCCGCCACCTGCATCCAGTCGACCAGAAAGAGCGGTTTCCTCATTTGCCCGCCTCCACGTTGTGGAGGGTAGGTGCTGATCAGCGTGCATACATTTTAACATGACGAACTCGGAGCTAAGTACTGTGTATATGCAGAATGCACCACCACATGTATAAATAGGGCAAGTCCTCTAGTTTCTTCCCATCCGCTGCTGGCCTCTTCAACAAGGCCAGGGGCTTAAACTGACTTTAACACAATAGCTGCACAATCACACCCTGCCATATTTGCACTATGTTACGCTATTTGCATTTTTGAAATTCTATATTGTATATTATAGCTATTGTATATTTTAGATTTTATTGTATTCAATTTTTACATACTTCAGCTCCTTAGTATTAGTTAGGCTTGTACCTTTAGTATAGTTAGACTTGTAAACCACTGATTTAAGATTCCTAAATGTTGAATGTATGCACCTTCCGGCCAAAGTAAATTCCTTGTCTGCGCGAACTTTCATGGCGAATAAAACCCTTTCCGATTCTGATAACGTTGAGGATGCCTCCCTGGAGGAAAACTTGTCGTAATGCGAAATATCACAACCTGTTCTACCATTAACGCAATGACAAAGTCAGGAGACATAACCTGGGGGTCATTTGTCGAGAGAGACATTTTACACATGTTAATACAGAGTACTCGAGGACATTGAATTTAAGTGAGGTAGCAGTCCAGTATATAGTGGCGATGTTGTAAACGGGAGGTCTGAGCGGCCAATGGGGGTCTTAGCAGGTGGTCACGTACGCAGGTTAAGTGAGGTTTGTTAATTTTTCTAAAACGTAGCAGCGAAGGAATAGTAAAGACGACGTTCCTGAAATTCGTTTGGCGACGTCATTGGAACGTTGCCAAGGAGACGCAAACGAATATCCCCAGTTTGTTATTTGCATTAGAACCGTTCGGGATTGCCATGAAAGCAACTTGGGAGACAGCGCAACACCATCCCACAGCCGCCTTTGTTTCCCCAGTACAAAGGAATTCACTTTTCACACCGCTACTCTACTTAAGGTCGAGTCGACCATGGGGCAGTGCCGGATTAAGCTAGTGCGGGGCCTGTAGCATGTTATAAAGGAGCCCTAAATAAAAAACAAACACACAAAAATGCATTTTTAATCATGGAACCTCCTTTGCCAGTACAAAACTATAATAGGGTTCTCCTTTTTTCCTGCAACAAAACAAAACCTTTTTACACGGAATCATGTCTGCATAAACCACAATACTTGTGGTCAGAATGCAAACAAAACAGTGATAATATATGCATGGTCTTTGAAACCGATTGGTCCACACCAGAGACAGCTTTCTTCTGAGCCTCGTCTCAAACGGTGTTAGACCAGAGGACGCCAAAAGGCGTGCAGTTAAAAGACAATGTACCATCAGAGTAATGAGCTCGGGGTGAGCATCTGCATCAAGGGCAATGCATATATTAGAGTATTTTGATTGCATTCTGACCACAAGTATTGTGGTTAATGCAGACATGATTCCGTGTTAAAAGGTTTGTTGCCAGAAAAGGGGAAACCCTATTCTTATACATTTTTAACTTTCATAGCAAGGCAATTCATTTGCTATACAGCCAGATAATACAACAAATCGCCAACCTTAAACACCCAGTCGTTCGTAAACGTTGAAGGCGGTATAGTACTATAGTAATAGAGCAAGTGCAGAATCGCCGAACCGCAATTGATAGCTTGAACGCACTTCGCAAGGGGCCCTTGAAAGTGCGGGGCCTGTAGCTATACATGTAGCTACTTTTGCTACCAAGATAATCCGGCACTGCCTAAGAGTACCAACATCGGTTCAGAAGCAAATTCCACAGTGCACACGAGTGGGTCTGAACTGTTCAATACAGGCAATGCAGCAACTTTAAAAATGCTCTAGCCTTTCCCCTCAAGCTCTCGTTGTACACCAACAGTTTAATAATTTAAGGCGGAGTAGACCTAGGGGAGGCACAGGGCCAGTTCAGATTTCACTTGCCACAGACATTCGCCGTGGCCGAGACGTGAGCCCAGGATTCGGGGTTACGAGTGCCGTGCACCAACCACCTACGCCTCTTGCATGCGTACAAAGAGCTCGCCTTTACAGCCTTAGGTCACGTCCGGTCAGCGAGCACCTATTAAGGGCTGCCAGGAAGACCACGCGGGATGGGGGTGGTCGTGAGGTGGTCAGGACAGCGCCCAGATCGTCTTTGCTCCACAATCGATGCACAAACAAAGATCCTTCGTATAGCCCAACACCGTTGGGGTAAGTGCCGTTAGCGAGCACTTCTGAAGGCCGGCACGGCACACGAGGGGGTGGGTGGCCAGCACCACCCCCGATGTTTACACACCACACCAGGTACTCACGAGGCAGAGTAGATCTAGGGGAGGCCCAGGACCAGTTCCGATATTCGTTATTAGCGTTGACCACGAGCGGGAATCGAACTCGGGCTCCACCGGGTTCATAGCGCAGCAGTCCAACCCGCTTGCACTACCGCTCCCCATAGGACAACGCCCACATCTCCGCCTTTGCCTCCCCGACAAGCGATATACACAGACACACGCCACACCAGGGACGTTTGTTTCATCTCCGAAGGCAAAAAAACGTAACTCCAATGCCGCAATTGCAACGAGCGGAATAGAAAGCGCCTCCCGATTGAGGCCACGAAAACCGCGACTCTCAGATGTCTCCCTCCCGCCGGTCACTGACGCCGCACACAACAGCGCGCAACGCTGGCAGGCTCGCCTTTTAAAAGGGATGTGGTGGATGACTGCACAAGAGCTCGTTAAGTCCACGTGCTCAATCAATTTGGATCAATTAAGCACACCCCCCCCCACCGCACTCGCTTAATAGGTATCCCGCCTCGCGACAATTGTGATTCAACTCGTGCGCCACGTGCCTCGAGTGATGAATTGACCCACGTCATCAATCAATTGCTGAAATTCTTGTTTACCGACAATCTATTATATTGTCAATTACGGAACTTATTAATTAATTATTCATCACGCTATTTATTAAAGGCAGACCACTCACCACTGAAGCCCACTCTCTCTCTCTCTCAACGTGGGGGGAGCAGACCTCAAAATTGGTATTTAGCGACTGAACATCGTACTGCTGCCATCATGCACAAGGATGGAATATCGATTCGTGCAATATTAAGTCGTTGCGGGCACCACTTGGAGATGGAAAACGGCTAAAGTGCGATACTAAATAATGGCAGAGGCGCAGGGTGGCTGCGATAACGCCGCCCTTATTTCCGTGAGTGTGACTGTGTGGTGACCTTTAGTCCGGTGCGTCCCTGTGCCAGGTTGAACCGGCGGCTGCGAGCTCGCTCTGCGCCCCCCCTCTCGCCACCAAACTACACAACGGGAAAGCACCCCGGGGTCACAGCTACCCCACCGGTGACGGCGGCTGTTGAGTGTGCAGGCGGTGCAGCTGCACCGGGCCCCACGGAAGGGCTAGAAGGCACAGGGCACTGGGGCTACGAATGTTTGGGGAATTCCGGTGTGGTGGTGGGAGGGATTTGATTCCATGCACCCAGGGCCCATCACCATGACTCATCTGTGTCCTGTCTCCTGCCATCTTCTGTCTGCTAATATTTCGCACCGTCACTTGTCTTTGCCCATTTTTCAACTTCGAGCATCGCTTGGTTTCGGTCATCTTCTGTCCTCAACAACAACAACCGACATCTTTCGCCACTAAGTGTCACCACCACTACCGTTTCCCACAATCGTTCAACTCACAGCATCTCCAATCATCACCAAACATCCTTCAGCTTTTCAACTTCGCTCGTATCTCGTCTCTGTCTGCCTCATATCGATTTCCATCTTCGGATACCTCCCAATTCCTACAGTCTCTATTCTCGCACCATCTTCCTTCATCTCCCATCTCTCTTTATTCCCCATCATATTCGACCATCAGTCACGATCACCCACCTCCTTTCATTTGCCATTCCCCATCATCTTCAACATCAAATATGCCGTGGACGAGGGTTGAGGATGCGTCCCATTGATTGGTGACGTGCTAGTAGGGTGTCTCTGGGTGGTCGGTAAAAATGGCACAGATACAAATGGCACAATCAATAATTATCGAAGGTTCGGGTTAATCGTCTCTTTCATTTAGATATGTATATAACTGTTTGTACAGTGCCTCTAACTGTTAGCACAGTGCAAATATCTGTTAGCACGCCACTTGAAACTGATAATGAAGGCCAGTTCCATCGTACCATTTGTACCGGTGATCAGAGTGTCCACTATATAGATTTTTTTCACGATACGATTGCAATGATCACGATGTGGATGACGGATTATATTATTTTTAGATTTGAAGCTTTCGTGACTGCAATGATTCATATTCCTAGGTTTTTTCGGTAAAGTCACGTAGGTAAAAAATCACTTGATACAGCTATACAGCTATCGTGCTGTGACGGTTCCACCTGAAAACGGAAGCTTGTGTTGCCACCGAAACGTCGTGATTTTTATTTAATTTAATTTTTATTTCACTTTTATTAATTTTCATTTTTTACCTACGTGACTTTACCGAAAAAACCTAAGAATAGGATTATATTATTATCACCGCGCTATACGTTGCCCGTAAAAAACGTTGTCATTGTCATTTCGCAGTTTCATTCTGTCGCCGTTCACGTCTTCGCTGCTGACTTCTTGTACCGCACCTCAAAACAAAATGAAGATTCCCTGAAAAGACCACCGACTTGAGTTTCGCTCACTCGACGCGAGCTCTCTGCATCGTCGCAACATCGCCCCCCCCCCCCGCCCCATTTACTGCCGCGTGCATTTAACGCGCGCGCTGTCGGTGACGCGAGACGCGAGGCTTGGGACCGAGCTCCCAACGCGATGTTACCGTGGGTCATCATCATCCGTTGCTTGCGAAAAACCGAGTTTCTCGACGGATTCAGAGCTCATTGTCCCCCGTGTCAATGGCACAGTTCAATCCAGGGCTCGGCAAAAAACCTGCGGCTCTTTGCAGACTGCTTCGGGATGTAATGTAGATATTAAAAATAAAGATCTCCCGTTTCGACTTAACAGACTTAGACTTCAAACTTTCGTAACTACAGGAATTCATATTCTTGGTTTTTTCGGTAAAGTCACGTAGATAGAAAAGAAAAATTAAAATGGAAAGCAAAACAAAACCACGACGTTTCGATCGCAACACAAGCGGTCTTCTTCAGGTGGAAAGAAAAGAACACCGCATGTGTTGCGATCGAAACGTCGTGGTTTTTTTGCCTTCAATTTTTGTTTTCTATCTACGTGACTTTATCGAAAGAACCAAGAATAGACTTAACGGACTGTTGGGGCAAGTGCTGCTAGCGAGCACCTATGAAGGCCAGAACAGTACACGAGGGGGTTGGTGGCCAGCACCACGCCCGACCGTCTTTGTCTCCCCAGTGGCGATGTTTACACACCGCACCAGGTACTCATTTGAGGCTGAGTCGACCTAAGGGAGGCCTAGGACTGGTTCAGATAGTCATCACCGGTGTTGGCCGTGAGCGGCAATCGAACTCGGGTCGCTGGGTTCGTAGCGCAGCGTAGAGCTAACCACTACACCACCGCTCCCCATAAAATATATATTCACATACATTGAGTTTCTTACCGAATTAGAATTTTGTTGTATCTTCTTGTTATTTTGTGTGCTGACCCTTTGGTTCAATCGATGGAGGGGAGTTACTGAAAAGGCCCGCGGCCCACCTCTCATTTTAACATGCCTGCCCGCTCAGCATTTCGAGATTGTACACCGCAGCTCGCGTGTTGGTGGGGCAACGCGTGGACACAATGCCGACAAAAATATTCTCTGATGGAGCCCCCCCCCTCCACCCGCCAGCAGTGGACGCGAGCAAGCAATTGCAGGGCTGTACCTTTGCCTTGCACGTTGCTCACAGTGCGACCGCTACACTTTGGTCCCGGCCCGAGCGATAAAGGTGCAAGTCAACCTCGTTGAACGACGGAGCAAGGCAACCGACGCCGAGATAAGCTGCAGGAAATTCTCCGTATCTCTCTCTCTGTCTATCTCTCTCTCTCGCTCTTATCCGCTGTCAGCCAAGGCACCGGAATGATCGCCGCTGGTTAATAAGTGGCGAACGGAAGTAGGCTTCGAAGTCACCTTGGGCCGAGACAAACGTACAGTCCCGTTGTCGGATCCACTGCTGGATGAATGCCTCCCCGAGTCGCCACCACCCACCCACTCACGGTCCTGCGATCTCACAAATCCACCCAGCGCCTGCACACGGAACTGATTTTCGCCGCTCCATCTCCTCGGTTGTACGCACTCTCGGACGCGTTGCATTCTTTGGCTGTCACTCCCGTTATTAATTTAATTTCGCAACTCCGATTATCACGGTTGGATATGTACGGTGCGAAAGAAGTTCAACATACATACGACCATCGGCCAATATCCTTTATACAGGGGTATGGAGCCTTTTTTCTGCCAAGGGCCATTTTGATATTTATAACATCATTCGCGGGCCATACCAAATGATCAACTAAAAAATTAGTGTTATATTTGGTTAAACATTTGATTAACTCACCCGTAATGGAACTGCTTCTCTTGGGTGAGGCATGTGATGTTAGCTGGTATTGATGATGTTGCTACTCGCAACTGCTTTTCCAGGTTTGCTCCTAGATTTATTGAATTTCGAGTCCTGCCTGCGGTTGCTTTGGCAGGGCCACACAAAATGATTTCGCGGGGCCTTATACGGCCCGCTGACCGGACGTTCCCCACCCCTGCTTTATAGCCATGATGCGTCATGCCCAAGCCACGTTTTTAACAGTCCGAATGACAATGATACGAACCTCTTTCGACGAAGCATTGTTCTCTACGTGTCTTAAAACGATGCTGCTGAAGTTACGCGATCCCAGAAGGCCGTACGGCCGATGGGTTGCGGAAGAAAGGAGATGCATTGCCTGCTTCGTAATTCTGGTGTCGATATTCTCAACACAATGATGCAAATTGTTAGGTTGAGTTATAGTGTGACCTGGGTACGTCCTCTGACCCGCCTGTTCTCCATCAGTCTCTCGACGTAATGCCAAGGCCCACGCTCCTTGACGCGCCTTTCAGTTTGTGTTCCACATTTGCGTTCATCTTCTTCTTCCTTTAATGACCGTGTTTCTATATTCTTTGGTTCTTTCGGTAAAGTCACGTTATACTACGTGACTTTACCGAAAGAACCAAAGCGTATGGATTGCTGCAGTCACGAAAGCTTCAAATCAAGATTGGACCGTGTTTCTGTTGTCCGTGCTCTTATTACAAAAACAAAAAAAATATAGATCTAAAATAAATAAAAATGTCTCGCCGTTCTGAAATTATTTCAACGCGGCCTGGCTCGGTCGACCGAACGTGCAGCGTTGGTTACCAAAAATGAGTCGGGAAGCCAGAACCGGCCCTAGACCTTTGGGGGCCCTAAGCAAAATTTGGTTGGAGGCCCCTTTGATGTATGATTTTTTTTCACCCACGAGCTAGCAGTGACTCTAGGGGGCCTTCTGCTGGCCACGGGGCCCTTTGCAATTGCAAGGGTCGCTTAGTGGCTGGGCCGGCTCTGCGGGCAGCAAAAGGCACGGGCAAGCTGAACAAATATGAACGCCCTGCGGCCACACATGCGCAGCCACACAGGGGCTCCTCATGTCAACGGCGACCGATCGTGTCGCTTACACGGCACGCGTTCTGAACGCCGACGGGGTGATTGTCCACCACCCACCCACCTCACCCACTCCACCCACCTCACCCACTCCACCCACCTCACCCACTCCACCCACCTCACCCACTCCACCCACCTCACCCACCCCACCCAACCTCAACCACCCACCTCACCCACACCACCCACATCCCTTTCTAAAATAGCAACAACAAAACTACTCGAAGTTGTGTCACATTCCTCCTGTTCGTGTTTGTGGAGGCAACGGACTTGCACGAGCCCCCCCCACTCCTCCTCCATCCTCTCCTCCGTCTGGAGATGCCATTTGTACATTTGAGGTGGGGGGGCCAAGCGGTTGCACGTTTGTCGCTTGTTGCAGAGGTTCGCGGTTTAAATCCGGACGGCCGCCCTGGTTAATACCACGAGTGTATGGTTAATGTCATGGGTGTATTAAACCGGGAAAAAAAGATACGTGCAGTCTGCTGCTGCACACGGCGGTCGTTAAAGGATCCCCGCAGCGGGGTCGTTGCCAATATGTTAACTACCTCGCCCGGTATACAGGAGGTCATGGGTTTTATCGCGACCCTGACGACTGCATATTTAGAGTTTGCGTGTCCCTCTCCCCGTTGTCGCGTGGATTTTTCTCCGGGTCCTCCGGTTATCCCCTCCACATGTAGAAACGCGCGTTTAGAGTGTTTGGCTACCGATATAAATGTCCGCGTGATGAGTCCACTTCGTTGAGCTGCCATTTGCGACCAGGTCGCTTCTGAACAAGAGCTCCACATAACCCAGTGGGCCTTACCAGGAAAAATATAAAACATTGTTTCGTTTTAGAAAACAGGAGGCCATCCGTGTGCACGTCGCCGTCAGGCTCCAAATGTTTGCTGAATTTGAAAAGTTGGGAAAACGCGCAAAGCAATCGTCGCCCTCCACCCCGCCCCCGTGACTAACGAAAAGTCGGCTGGGTTCATCCTGAAAAACGAGTCTTGCGGCGAGGTTTTCCTGGGGTAAATAAACGAGCTGTCTGCGAAAGGATCATCATCGGTGGACATACACATCTCAGATAGGAATCGCAAATGTGACAGGGATGATTTTTTTACAGTATTTATTACGCTCGCTTACCCAGAGAAGCCTTGCCGAGTCCCACGACTCAGTAGCGTCCTGCCAAGCTGTCGCAGATAAGGGGGAGCGATAACGGTTATGTTACTATTCAGTAATTTGCGGTGCAATTTTTTTTTTGACCGACACAATTGCCTAACTCTTGCGAACGAACTCACGGGATCTCCAGCGTCGACGCGTCGTATTTTCTTACGGTAAACACAGCCCAGGAGGGGTGGGCGGCAGCAATCATTTTCCGCCCATCAGATTTGCTACTTTGAGTTGGGTTTTAAAGGGGGGGGGGAGGAGGGAATGCTGCCTTCTTCTGTTAGCGCAGTGGTCAAAGTCAGTTGGTGACGTTGTGATATTTATTCTGCAAACACGGGCAGTGCTGAACAGGTTTAACGGAGAGAAAAAACAAAGCCCGATCCATTTCCACCGCGAGAAAGCTCCCCGTGTCACTCCAATGTTGAGCCTGGGCAAACGCTTCGACAACAGATGTTCAATGCTCATTGAAGGGGCCTCCTCCACTATAATCCCAATCATATGCATTCATCAGACGTCCTGGAAGAGGTGGGCGTACCCACATTCTACCCCACCGTACGCGACCTGCCGATCGACTGATATGTTGAACTTTTTTCGCAGCGTGCGTAGCGCAAACCGTGCGAATCGCGGAGGTGCGACCCATTTGTGCGGCTGCCGTGTGGGCAGAGGCGGGTGGAGGGAGGCGGGAGGTGGGGCGCTGGGGCTGGATTTGGGAGACTTGCACCATTGTTTCGCCTGCCGCGCCGGGAGATGGAGTCTAACCGGCGACCTCTGGGTCCACAGGTCCAGTGGTGTGCGAACCACGATCACCATGGCGACTCACAAATGTCGAGCCTGGCAAAGGCTTCTTTACCAACACATTGTCCAGTGCTTCTTACACTATTGCATTATATATTCATCTTACACTCTATTGTATTTATACACCTAAATGTCAACAAAACTCAGTAAAATATGTTCGATGTCAAAAAGGAGATTCACACTTTCGTTTAAAATTCACATCGCATTTTTATTGCAATTTTGCTTCTTTTTTCCCCCCACCTCCCATAACAACACTTCATGTAATCATTCGCAAAAATCCCCACCCCCCCCCCCCCCCAGCATTTGATTGCCCATCCCACATCCTTGCAACGGGTCGCACGCGATGGAGTCGATTGTGCGCGTACTCACACCTTTCCATGGCAGCTGCCCAGCATAGGAAGAGTAGGCCAAATATAGCCGCGAGAGAGAACTGCTCTCTTAGCGGAGGCCCTTCCTCCGACGGCGACACGAGACGAGCGATTGCAGGGGCTGCGCCTTTTACCGTTCTCTACGTCCATCGGCTCGCTGCTGCAACCTGCCGAATATGGGCACAGGCAAACAAATTGTGCCCTTTCATTTCATATCCCCTGTGCAGGAGGCGCGATAACAGGAGGAGCAACTCGAAACGGCCCCTCGATGGCTTTGGCGACTACTGCTACTATTCCGTGATAAGTGCTTTTTCGTCTTCTCTGTTTTCTGCAAAGGTGCAGAGAGCAAATATTTCGACAGTTCCACAACGCTTACCCCATCAGCGATCCTGTACCGAACGCGTACTCTACACGTTTGTGTGTTTAACACGCAGGCGTTCGCGAACCAATATCCATAAGAGGTGTTTGTGTTCCATCGCGTGAATATAAATGCGTCGTTAAACCCGCCACGAGCCGAAACAGTCAAATTGTAAGGTTTGTCACTTAAACAAAACATGCCAATTCGTTATTAGCACATCAGGCGACAACTCGCCTGACGATGCTAGTTGTGATTACTTGCGAAACGTCGCACTCGAATTGTAAATGTCGTGGGTTTACTCTCCAACACACCGGTGTGCTGTACTCGTAACGATTTGGCACGTGTTGTTTACGTGACAAACATCGCTAATAAGTTGTCTGTCGGGTGGTGGCGGGTTTTAACGACACATTTATAGTTACGCGCTCGAACCCAACGCAGCTCTACTATAGATACGTTTGCGTTCACGGCGCAGTTAAGCCAGATGCACTTGCCACCACCACCGAAGCGGGCGAGCACAACATTGTGGGTGGCGGACAGACGCCAGGCTCGGGCCTAGGCAAAGGCTTGCATAGCTTTTGGCACCGTGGAAAAACGACAGCAGCTGGCTTTGGTTAGGATTCGCTCCACTCTTCTCCTGCAGTGCTTCTCCATTCACGGTCGAACCCACGATCTCCTGGTATGGAGGAGAGCGTAGGCTTGATCCCGACCCTGACGCCTGTGTATTTGGAGTTTGCGTGGATTTGTCTCCAAGTCCTCCGGTTTTTCCCTCCACATTTAGAATCAACATGCGTTTAGAGTATTTGGCTGCTATACATTTCCACGCTATATGCCGCTTCGTTGAGCTATCATTTGTGGCCAGGTCGCTTCTGAAAAAGAGCTAAATAGCTCAGTGGGCCTTATCTGGTAAAATAAAAAAAATTGTTTAATTTAGAGTTTAGAATATATTTTGTTTTGGTTTGTCCGAGAATTGTCCGTTCCGAGCTCCCACAGCTCGTAGTGCATCACCCTGTGTCAGAGAACAAACCTCTGGAAGAAGATACTCCAGAACTACTTTAGAAGTCCCTTAAACAGCGTCTTAATTTTCACACACCGTGGGGGGGGGGGGGGGGTCATATCTTTCCATGCACCCTGTAAAGCTTATTTGTCGCATGTCGATCAAAGGTCAAAGTGTCGACCGGCCAAGCTGGCTCGAGCCTTAGAGTGGGTGGCTCAGACTCGGAAAGCGCGCGAGTTTAAATCCTGGTCCGGGGGTTGACTCAGCCGACCCATGGTGCGTCCAGGGGGAATTAAAATGAGTACCACTTCGTGGCAGTCTCATTAGGTCTTCCATGCCAATCAAGCCACACAGCTTTTATATTTATGAGATGGGCAGATGCTCTATAGGTTCTAGATGTGTGTGTATATATACACGTGTGTGTATATACACACACACGTGTATATATATACAAGTCATTACGCATTTGCTATACGTGTAGCAACAGACACCCTGGGAACCCTTTGCAAATGAGATGTTCCATCTCAAGCGACGATCCAGGTGAAATATTTGAATAAATAAAACAATAAATGCCAAACCCAATTTGATATTGCTGATTTTTGTTTTGTGACCAAGGCCAAAACCCATAATAAACTTGCTTAACACTTGCAAAGTCAAAATGTAATAATCACAGGTAGCTGGGCTGAAACCCGGAATTGAACCCAGAACATAAGCGGGACTGACCCGGCCACCAGGCCACCTCTAAAGCTCCTGAAACGGCGCACGAGTTTTTGGTTACGAACTCATCCACGATTCGTAAGAAATCGACTTGGGTTTTTTCCCCACCCGCCGTTTAGTTACCGTTTACAACTTTCCCCCCCACCCCCCGCCGAGCCTCCAGTAGTCGTTGCAGCGTTTGGCACAGATTACGCGTGAACATACGCGGCGATAAAAAATAAAACAAAAATTAAATTAATGCGATATCGCGTGTCCACGCGTGCGTGCGTGGGCGAGCGTCCGAGCGACATCCTCGAAGTCAAATGAGCCTCGGACTCAACTGCAACACTCGCTCATAAGTATTCATCGCAGAGGCGTCGTCGTCATCATCGTCGTCATCGTCGTCATCGTCGTCATCGTCTCCATCAAACACCGAGTCCTCACTGGGCTCTCGGCTCTTGGACGGTCTCAGGCCGATCGTGGTGGCGGCGGCGGTGGCGGCGGCGGTGACATTGCGCCCGTCCACAACACCTTCCTGAAAGTCCAGACAGTCGAACGACTCGCTTGACAGGATGCTGTCGTCGCTCATCACGCTCGAAGGGCGACTCTGAAGACCGCCTCCGGCACTGGAGCCCCGCTCACCGCCGCCCCCTCCGCCGCCCCCAGCATCGCCGAGCAGGAGCAGATCGCCGAGCGATCGCGACATGCGCGCTGGCGGCGGGGCCTCGGCGCCGAGGCTGGCGGGCCTCTGAGAGAACTTGCCGTGGCGTTTCAGGATGCCCTTGTGGCGCAACACCACGAAGCCGCTGCTGCCTCTGCGCGGAGGCGGGGGCGGCGTTGTGAGAATCGAGCGCCAGCCGCCGCTCCCGTCCGGCTCCACGCCGCCCGTCCGCACCGCCAGCAGCACCGTCATGTCCAGCGAGCCGCTGCGCTCGGGGGACGAGTAGTAACCGCTCTCCCGCTGGCCCCCGCCACCTGCGCCGCCCCCGCCGCCGTTTTTGAGGATCCCCTTCCGCGGCATCTTCGCGGTGCCGCCGGCGGGCGCGGCGGGGTGGCACTGCGAGGGCGACGGCGCGCGCTTTGGCAGCTCCGCGTCGTCTGGGAAGCTGCAGCGGGCGCCGGCGGCGGCGGAGGAGGTGTAGCTGTCGAAGCTGCGTGCGGCCGGCTGCGAGCGCTCGGCGAAGTCGCTGCGCTTCTTCAGAATGCTCTTGGGCTTCCGCGCCGGCGCCCGAGCCGCGATCGGCTGGGGGTCGCCGCCAGCGCCGCTGCCGCCGGCGGCCTGAGTGTGGGTAACGTCGTTCTCCTTGCGCGACTTCTGCAGGCACCGGGCGGCGGGCGCCGATCCCGCCGGGCGAGCGGCGACACCGGCGCCGTCTTCCTCGCCGTTGCGCTGCCCGCCGCCCGTTGCCACCGCGGCCGCCGCCGCCACCGCCGCCGCTGGCGCCGCCGCTGCCTTCCAGCGCTGGTGAGAGTCGAGCGCCGGCTGCGGGTAGGACCAGCCGCGGGAGCGGGCGGGCGAGCCGGTGGGGGGCGCGCGGGCGTCGCAGTCGCACAGCGAGCCGCTGTGACCCCAGTTGACCCACCAGTGGCTGGCGATGTCCTCGATGCTGGCGCGGCGCTCCGGGTTCACCATGAGCATCCAGCGGATGAGGCCGCACGCATCTGGGTTCGTGCGGGAATGCGGGGGGAGGGGGATGGGGGGCGTGGCAGGGGGGAGGGGAGCACATGTTTGTTAACGTTAGGGATAGAATCATTCATGGATTGAAATCTACACGAATGACACGTGTTGGATTGTGAGTTTGCATTAGAATCAGTTGTTTTTGATTGGCGTATTTTGTGAATACATTTGTAGATTTTATAATGAGTAGGCCAGGGGGGAAGGGATTTAGTGAGAGAGCAAGCAAGATGGTGAATGAGTGAGCGAGCGGGTAAGCGAATGAGTGAGTGAGCCGGTGAACAAATGAGTGAGTGAGCATTTGAATGAGTGATTGAGCAAGCATGGCAGTGAAGAAATGCATGTGTGAGCCAGTCGGTGAATGCATGAGTGGGTGGGTGAGTGACCGAGTGAGCCAGTGAATAAATGAGCAGGTGGCTGAGCGAGCGGGCGAGCAGGTGAGTGAGCGAGCGAGCCGGTGAATTAATGAGCGAGTGGTTGAGAGAGTGAGTGAGCCAGTGAATGAATTAGTGGGTGGGTGAGTGACCGAGTGAGCCAGTGAATAAATGAGCAGGTGGCGAGCGAGCGGGCGAGCAGGTGAGCGAGCGAGCGAGCCGGTGAATTAATGAGCGAGTGGTTGAGAGAGTGAGTGAGCCAGTGAATGAATTAGTGGGTGGGTGAGTGACCGGGTGAGCCGGCGAATAAATGAGCAGGTGGCTGAGCGAGCGGGCGAGCAGGTGAGTGAGTGAGCGAGCCGGTGAATTAATGAGCGAGTGGTTGAGAGAGTGAGTGAGCCAGTGAATGAATTAGTGGGTGGGTGAGTGACCGAGTGAGCCAGTGAATAAATGAGCAGGTGGCTGAGCGAGCGGGCGAGCAGGTGAGTGAGCGAGCGAGCCGGTGATTTAATGAGCGAGTGGTTGAGAGAGTGAGTGAGCCAGTGAATGAATTAGTGGGCAGGTGAGTGAGTGAGTGAAGGAGCCGGTGAGCGAGCGAGATGCCCGGGTGGGCGACAGGGCGGCCACTTACCGGAGGGCTGAGTGGGCTCCTTGTAGTCGCCGCTGCTGATTTGGCGCACGAGTGTGCGGTGGTCACGCCCGTCGAAGGGCATCGTCCCGTACACCAGCGTGTAGAGCAGCACGCCCAGGGCCCAGCTGTCCACCTGCCAGCACACGAAGGCAAAGATCCCCCCCGTGTAGCCTAAACAGACTTTTGGGGCAAGTGCTGTTAGCGAGGAGTAGCACCTATGAAGGCCGGCACTAGCACACCTAGAGGGGGGGGGGAGGGGTGGCCAGTATCATGCCCGGCCGCCTTTGTCTCCCCAGGAGCAATGTTTACACAATCAGAATCAGGATATTTTTTCTGGAGGAATCCAATGAGCTATAAAGCTCTTTTTCACAGATGTCCAGTATGGGCGGGTCAGAACGTTACAGCGACAAACGTCGATCCCGCTGGTAATGACATCCAGCGTCATTGGGCGATTTTGCCAGAATTCAAATTGTAAATATTGTGGATTCACTCTTCAACACACTGATTGGCACGTTTTGTTCACGTGACAAATCTCACCAATTGGCTGTGTCGGGTGGTGGCAAATTAACGACACATTTGCACTCGCGCGATCTCACCCCCCAAAAAAACCCTTCGTGATGAAGCTACATAGCTCAGTGGGGGCCTTACCTGGATTCAATCAAATTTAAAATTAAAATAAAAAAGCCAGCGTAAAAACCGTACCTCGGGGCCTCGGTAGGGGCGTCCGTTGACGATCTCGGGCGACGCGTACAGGGGGCTCCCGCAGAACGTCTGGAGCAGTCGGTCGCCGTGGAACTTGCTCGAGAGGCCAAAATCCGCGAGCTGCCGGGACACGGGACGGGGGGGGGGCGGAGGGGTAGATGTCAGTAAATGCAGAGAGACGTGGGGAAGGACGTGGGCAGATGTGGGGTGATGTGGTCAGATGTGGGAAAGATGTGTAGAGACGATGTGGAGAGATGTGACAAGGTGTGTGGTGATGTGGAAAGATGTGGAGAGATACGAGATGTGCGGCGATTCAGGGAGATGCGAGGAGATGCGGGACGAGGGATGCACGTGCACGCATCACCGTTGTACGGTCAGACCTGGGCCTGATCGTACCGGTCACCGCTCACCATAACCGGATATCGAAATCTGGCCGGCAGGTTCGAAAGTGCAGTGCGCTAACCACACCGTATGAACGTGTGTACGTTGAACTTCTCTCGCACCCTACGTAGCCAACCGTGCTAATCGGAGGTGCAGGGCGAAGGACAACAAACTAAAAACCGTGCCACCGCTCCGCCCGACGAATATTTTGCTTCACTGGTTGTAGTAACACGTTCCTTCGGAGTGGGCAGGTAGGAACTTGGTTGGACAGCGCATTTGTGCTATCCGTGTCACGCGGCGCAAGCTGCGTGGGGCGGCACGTCACGTGGTGCTGAGCCCGCCCGAAGCGCTCTATGAAATATAAATCGAGGGCGGGGCTATGCACGACAGACAGACAGACAAATAATCCCTGGTGGGAAGTGTGGAACTGTTGTTCCTACCTGCATTATTATTATCATCATCACGGCTACCACACTTGTTCACCCAGGAAGGTCCAGCCACGTTTTCCCAATTCGGAAGGGGGGTGGGGGGGGGGCACGATTGGCATGCGACCAATTTAACGAATTTGGACCGTGACGCTGGTGCACAATGGCCTACTCCTCTACGAATGACGTCGGGGGGGGGGGGGCGGTGGGTGGGGAGTGGGGGCATGGAAATCTTTAACGCCCTCTGTGCAGTAGACGGCAATTTGTTCGTGTGGCCGACACGCCGGTGATATTTAAAAGCCAGCGAGCGAACCAAAGCGGAAGCAATTTTTATTTTACCACCCCGTAGGCCCACCGAGCGATGGCGTAGCTCTCTCTCGGAAGCGACCTGGCCACAAATGATCGCCGAAAGAAGGTGGCTCGTCGTGTGGAAATGCACGGCAGCGCAAACGCTCTGAGCGCGTGACGTTGACTCGCGGTTACCGGGGAGGGCGGCCGGGATCGGACCGCGAAACCTCTCGCAACAAGCGACAAGGGTGCAGCGGCAGCAGGTTACCTTGATGTTGTTGTTCTCGTCCAGGAGGATGTTTTCTAACTTCAGATCTCTGTGGACCACACCGTTCTGCGGGGGTGGGGGGGGATGGGGGTCAGAGGAGAGAAAGCGTTTAGTTAAAATACGGAAAACTAAACTACCGTTTTTATTTTTACCAGGTAAGGCCCACTGAGCTATACAGCTCTTTTTCAGAAGCGACCAGGCCACAAATAATAGCTCAACGAAGTGGCTTATCACGTGTTAAGTATATAGCAGCCAAATACTCTGAACACATGTTGAGTGTAGGGGTATAACCGGAGGACCCGGAGAAAAATCGACACGACCACGGGGAGAGAGAGAGAGAGACGCAAATTCCAAATGTGCAGGCGTCAGGGTCGAGATCGAACCCACGACTTCCTGTATACCAGGCGAGGGAGTTAACATCTCGCCACCGCGGTGGAGGCGGCCGGCACTTAGGCGGTCGGAGAACGTAGAGGCGGCGCCGCTGAGAACCTGGGGTTTATTACCCCAAGTTTCGGCCGCCTGTGCGCATCCCGTGCGGTCCCACGTCATGAGCAAGAGACTTCGTTCGTGGCTTTTAGAATGTGTGGGAAGCTCCCCGCTGGATATGCTCTGCAGTGATGTCACCGAGGGAGGTTATTGTTTGTTTTCTTCACTCACTTTTATTTCTCATTGCTGGGATAATCGCCACATTCAGTGACGGCCCAAGTGTTATCCGGTGGTTTTATGTGCACGGTTGCATCTACGTATGTTGAACTTCTTTGGCACCGTACGTAGCCAACTGTAATAATCGGAGGTGCGGGGGAAGGACAGAAAACTAAACACAAAAAACTGTTCTAGAGAAATGAGTTTTCAATCTATGTATAAAAGTGGATAGATTTAAAAGTGCATAGCTCCAGTGGCTTGAGCACACAGCTTCATTACGAAACATTAAGCAGACAATATACACGCCTCCTGCCACATACATGTCCCTCCAAATGACACGTCTTAGTGTTTTTTGTACACATCTAAAATCGGCAACACGGCCTTCCTTCTGTGAGCGACAATGTTTCACCAGCGTCGATATTATACCCGGGTTCGACACTCGGGTTTCTCATCAGCAGCAGAGTCAGGCTCGCCTTCAACCCAATAGCTGGTGAATTGCCAGACGGTTACGGGCAATGACTGGTTTCGACATTCAGCATCTCATCGGCAGCAGTCAGGTTCGCGTAAACCAATGGCTGGTCAACTAACAGATGTGGTTTCGTGGAGCTGGCCGACACCCAGACTCAATCCCAACATCTTGGCATCGCTGACTGGGCACTCAGACGCACCAATTATGAACCCCCCCCCCCGCACCACCCTTTCCACTACCCCCCCACTCCACTACCCCCACCAACTCAGCACCCGACCACCTCACTAACACCGCGGGGTGCCGCCGCCGTCACACACGCCGAGAGAGCGAGTCGCGTTATCGTTGCCCGCAGGCGGCAGGCCAGGAGGCAGCGGCGGGAGATGCGATACTCACCGCAGACTCAACACACCCCCCCCCCACCACCGCCAACACTCACCGTGACGAGGGTCAACATGGCTCGCACACTTACAGCCGCCACGAGGCCACCGGGGCCACAGGGGCCACAGCGAGGACGTGTGGATCGTCGTCAGGGCCAGGACTGAATCTCTCTCTCTCTCTGTGTTTTTATTCAAATTCCTTCCTGTGACCATTGACCCGCCACGCGCGTGGCGCGACGATGCCCACAATGCATCGTTGATTGATTCACCTCCGCTATTTCAGAGCTGCGCTCTCTAGCTGTGAGTTACACAGCTGCAAAGAGGCCAAATCGAAGTTAAAACGAACAAAACTGTTCATTGTGGCATGTAACTAGGCGGTAACGCACACAGTGAGCCCTATGGATTTAATTTCCAAACTAACTAAGAGGACGTTTCATAGCGCAGCAGTATTGCGTTTCAACCATTATAAAGCTGCGTAGACAGGACCTAATTACTCACTCGAGTAATTATGTCCCGCTAACTTGGCCGGCTTGGAGTTGGGATTATCAGCGCGTGGGGTGCAAGGTATGACTATCAATAATAATGACAATCCGACATTCGTCAAGTCAATTTGAGTTCTGCTTACGTACACCGGTGCCTTGCTGGCACAAAATCTACCACCCAAAGCGCCACCGTCACATTAATGCTCAACACAAACTTAAAAAATTCTAAACAATGAGAAAATATATATATATATACAGTACTGACACTACGTATTATTGTACACTTATATTCCTATCATCCTATGGAGATGTTCAGGCTACAAGTCAGGCATGAGAAGGATGTGGCGTCGCCAAAATAATTCCCGGAACACCGTTGCGGACTGTTCCATCTGGAAATAAGCACTGTATCGTTACAACTGCATATACCGCAATAGCCCCGATGTGCATTTTTCACCTTTTCCGTCATTTCTCAAATACGTCGTTACTTTATTATTAACACCGCTACCCGATGTGCGTCGCCTCAACCCCACAGCATCGTCCGTGCTTTCTCGTCATCCGTCGCCTCCACCACCTACCCCGTGTACATCGCTCTCTGATGGACGTCGTTTCGATATTCGCCGTCGCACTTTTCGGGAACGCACGCAGGATGTAAACCGAGCGTATTACGGTACGCATATATATGGCCAGGTGGCCCAGTGATAGAGCGAGTCGCTCGCAATCGGAAGAGAGCGAGTCGCTCGCTATCGGAAGATTGCAAGTTTAATTCTTGTTTCGGTGGTGGTTGGGTGCGGGGGGGGGTGGGACTCAGCCCATCATCCTTCTGGGGGCCTATAAAATGAACACAAGGTACTTGTTAACAACAGTGGTCAGACACGCCAAGTCCTGCAGGAACGTGGAATTCCCACCACTGACTCACGACTGTGAATGCTCTGTTACGGCAGGAAATCACTTCATCATTAATATATATTTATTGTTTTTGGATGGGTGGTGGGTGGGGGGGTGGCCCGGCCCTTAATAATCCACCCAAACTCCAAGGCCTCGGGCGGAAGAACCACGGCGTCCTCCCGACAAAAGCCCCTGAAGTTGAGACGGCCCGGGGTCAGAGCGGCTGCGGTGGCGGGCAGACCGAGGCGGAGGGGGCGGCCGCGGGAGTCTTTGGGCGGCGTTGGTGAGCGCGCCGAGCCTCTCGGCGGCGTTGCACACGCAGACAGCCGAGACAAACCACAGCCGTCTGTTCAGACGTGGGCGCCCCAAGTAGGTTCAAGGCGCAGCCCTGCGATTGGTTTCTCACAACCATGCTGGCGGAATGGGCCTTCACTAGACGGGGGGGGGGGAGGTCTGGCGCTCCAGAGGGCCCCCCCACTCCCGGACGGTATTTAGCCTACTCCTCCGCCGCTGTACTCGATGTCTTTGAAGAGGTCGGGAGTACACACACTTTACCCCGCCACACGCGTGCACATTGACGCCAAACGATTGTAAGTTTACTTGCGAGCTGGGGCTAATGTGGTGAGACAGGAATGCTCGCTCTCTCCTCGCCAAACCCCCCCCCCCACCACCACTCCTGTGTCCTGTGAGTAACGGTCGAGAGAGCACGTCCAACAAAGGAGACGGAGCGGTGAAATCGGTCCGAGTGAAGGTGCTGTGCGGATTGTTACATCGCTGTATCGAGACGGGGGGGGGGGGGGGGGCGGCAGCTTGCAGAAGCCGTCATCCAGCAGTGGACTGACCATGACTCATGATGATAAATGATGAAAAGGTATCGTAATGTACAGTCCTTTGTCAATGCACTGTTGAATGAAGGCTTCCCAATGCCGTGTCTGTCTTGGGATTTTGACTTGACCATACATCACCATGCCGGCCAATGTGGATTGAAGGGGTTGAAGGGGTGCACCAAGGCCCTGATATTTCACGCGCCGCGTCAGGTACTCGTCAAAAGGGCGAACCAGCCCAGGGGATGGCCCCAGGACCGGTTCAAATTTCACTCGCCGCTGATGTTCAGCCATGGCCAGGAATCGAACATGCATGTGGCGCGGGAAGGAACTAGAGACGAGCGGGAAGGCAGCGACGCATTAAGCCGGCGCCGACAAATCGCCCAAGATCTACGGTCCTCTACATGTATATATACAGGGTGCTTCAAAACAATGTTAACGCTAATATGGGACTATCCGAAAGAAAAACAATTATCGGAAGTGTTCACATTTTTTTGAAGCACCCTGTATATTCATGTGATTATCGGATTAAACGCCCAGCGCGCTCACCACTGACACTTGGGGATGCCCGGTTCGCCGGCGTGTCACCCCTGCGTGAGCCCAACTCAGAGGAAAATCAAGCGAAAATTTACATATATTGAACTTCTTTAGCCAATATTGAGAATCGCACTGTGCTGTGGAAGGACAACAAACTAAACACAAAAAGCAGTTCTAAAGAAATGAGTTTTCAATCTACGTTCAAAAGTGTCATAGCTCCAGTGGCCTCCTAATATCGGAGGAGCATTCCAGACGGCCGCAGAAGCGCATGTGAAAGCGCGCGATTTCGGTGACCGTCTTGGTTCAACGGTTAGCCAAAAGCCGCTGTGGAGATGGGTGGATGTAGAATGTGTACGCAATGACGCGGGCGAACATGATGCAGCAGCAGCAGCACTCGCTAGGCTGTCTAGCCGTGTGCGTGGGTGTTGCGAGCAGTACCGCAACCGCCGCACCTTTGATCCGAAGTCGGCCGTAACAGCCACCAGACAATTGGGCAATCGGCCCGCAGTGGAGGGGGGGGGGGTCATAATGAGAGACTCATTGTAAACATGAGTGTGTACATCCGTGTCAGGGCCGGGACAGGGAAGGCCACCTGGAGGTCGTGACCTCCGACTTGAGTCTTCTCACCGCCGACTCTCTCTCTCTCGGATCGTGAGCTAATTCGAATGTCGAGAGTTTTTACTTTATATATATTATATATTTTTACAAAGTCACGTAATTGTCATTCATCGGAGCTTTTGTTTTAGACGAGGCGAGACACCGTGCGGATATTGAATCACTTTTGGAAGGGACATCCGATTTTACAACAAAAATCAGGGCAGAGGAGAGGAGGGGTGAGCCAGGGAAGGAGGGGAAAGAGAGGGGGACGTGGGTGGGGGGCACGTGCAGTTTATAATCGTTATAATGAGCAGGTAAATATTGTTGCTGTTGTTGGGTTTCAATGGCCTTTCGCTAACCAGTGGGGGGGTCCAAGCCCCACACTGACCGCCAGTGCATTTCACCTAGAGGCCTTGCATTGGTTGCGACGTCGCCGATTGCCCACGATGAGAAGTCGCCAGATCGATCGGCCACAAAGTCGCCGATCGCTTACGAAGTCACCGAACTCGTCGTCCGAGGATTACCTCTCCCGCCACGATCGCGCTCCTGCAACTGCGAGGACGTTCGGCCGCGAACGAGCGTCCCATTGCCGCCGCCGCCGTCGCCACCGCCCCCGGCGAACGAGACACCGGTTTTGCGCGGCGCTCCGCCAAAGTTGTTCACATTCCACCGTCGGCGCCCCTCTCGACCGGAAATTGACGCCCCCCCCCCCCCGCCCAACGTACACATTCGCAGCGGTAGCAGCGGCGGCAGCATGACAGGCGACATCACAATTTGGCGCGTCGGCAGAGGGAAAAAGCAGAACAACCCTGAAAGAGAAGCGCCCGCCGATGAAAGGTGGCACCGGAATATCGGACGGGGTGGGGGGTGGGGGGGTTAGAGGCAGTGCCGGCGGGGGGGGCGGGCGACGGTTCTGAGCGTTGACGAGCGGCGGAGACGACGGCGGGGGGGGGGGGGGCGGGGGGCTCTTGGAGAAACGAAGGAACCCGCGGCCGCAGGGACAAAGGACGCAGGGATCGCAGTCAATTACAGACAGCCGAGAGCAGCAGCGCGTACGTTGCTCGTTCGCAGAGGTTCGGTGCCAGCGGCCGCCTTGGTGAATGCCGCGTGTGAATTAACCTGGGGAGTACGTAGAGGCGAGGAGAGTGGAGCGAGAGGGGAGAGGTAGGAGAGTGCGCGGAGGGGAGCAGACTGAGGCAAGAGGGGAGAGGTAGGAGAGTGCGTGGAGGGGATAAGAGTGAGATGAGAGGGGAGAGGTAGGAGAGTGCGTGGAGGGGATAAGAGTGAGATGAGAGGGGAGAGGTAGGAGAATGCATGGAGGGGGTAAGAGTGAGATGAGAGGGGAGAGGTAGGAGAGTGCGTGGAGGGGAGTAGAGTGAGATGAGAGGAGAGAGGTAGGAGAGTGCGTGGGGAGGAGTAGAGTGAGATGAGAGGGGAGAGGTAGGAGAGTGCGTGGAGTGGAGCAGAGTGAGGCGAGAGGGGAGAGGTAGGCAGGGTGGGTGCAGTGCGATCTCGAGGGGCAAGGGACAGCGACACGAGCGTGGGCTTGTCAAGGACGCGTGGATGAACACGCATTTGGCAGAGTGACTCAAGGTCACTTGACGTTATATTTGGCAAGGCACCGCCATCTGTGTTTTTGTTGTTGTGATGAATAATAATGTCCACATCGCGGGAGCGCAGGGCGGACAGAGCGAACCTTGCGTGATCTTGCTCTTCTCGCTCGTCTCGGCGTAATTATCGGTGACGAGGCTCTGATTAGATTGCGCCGGGGGCGACCGGAATTGCATGCTGATGAGCCAGGTCCCGGATTAGCGTGGGCGCGTCTCTTTTTCAGGGCCGACGATCAAGGCCTGACTCACGATACTAATATTTACACCCCCGCCAGGATGCATTTCATGATTCACTGCTCACGCAACCCACTCCCACAACCTCCTCTTCCACCTGCACCCTGCCGTCTATTCACATGCGTGTTGAACTTCATTTGCACCGCCGGACGTAGCCGACCGCGCCATTGCACGCACGATGATAATTTCGACCTTTGAGGGGTGCCCAGCGTCCGTTCGCTCTCACACAGAGAGAGGAGATGGAACGACTCCGGCGTGCGCGGGAAGGGACTAGAGACGAGCGGGAAGGCAGCGACGCAATAAGCCGGCACTGACAAATCGCCCAAGCTCTGCGGTCCTCTACATGCATATATACAGGGTGCTTCAAAACAATGTAAACGCTAATATGGGACTATCCGAAAGAAAACAATTCTCGGAAGTGTTCACATTTTTTAAATCCTTTATATTAAGTTCACTTGCTTACTTGCTTGCTTGCGCGCTTATGACCGTGCAAATCTTTCGGTCGTTTTTTAACCCACTTCCCGTGATCCAATCGAGCTGACATTTTGCACACAGACTCGTTGTGCGTGACAATTTATTTTCGTGAAAAATTTGTACACTTTTTAGGAAAAAATAAATTATATTTAATTACCAATTGCTTAATGGTGGCAGGCAATCATCTGACCCATAGGTGGCAGCCATCTCAAGCCAGAGGACGAGAGGACTCTAGCCGCCACGCATATAAAGGATTTATAGTGAAAAACTTTGTTTTTGCGGATTAATTTTTTTTAAGCACCCCGTATATTCACGTGCTCACCTTGTGGCAGCAGTGCACGGCCGAGACGACCTGGCGGAAGAGACGCCGCGCCTCGGCGTCGGGGAGGCGGCGACGCGCGCTCAGGAAGTCGTAGAGCTCCCCCCCCTCGGCGCACTCCATCACCATCACGATCTTGTCCTTGTTCTCGAACACTAAGGGGGGACAGACAAATACCAATATTTGGTGTATGTTGGTGTACGGTGCTTTTTCTGCAATATTTTGCCGTCTTTTCTTGGATTTTTCTGTTTACACAAAGTCACTTTAAGATGTTTTCTTGTTCATGTTTTTGTTTTTTTGTTTGTTGCGGTTGCACCCGATTCAAGAGCCGAATGGCTCTCAGGGCTATACCTACTAAATTAACTTGAACTTTAACCAAACGATCCCCATTGCAGCCTCGACAGGCGTTTTGGGGCGCGGCACACGAGGGGGTGGGGTGGCTCAGCACCATGGCCCCGCCGCCTTTGTCTCCCGAGTGACGATGTTTACGCATCGCACCAGGTACTCGTTTGAGGCCGAGTCGACCTAGGGGAGGACCAGGACCGGTTCAGATAATCATTACTGGTGCTGGTGGCCGTGAGCGGGAATTGAACTCGGGTCGCTGGGTTCATAGCACAGTGTGCTATCCACTGCGCAAGCACGCATTAAACATCGCACGGATGCAAGCATAAAGGCAAAGATTCCCTACCCCCGGTAGGTAGTCTTATAGACTTGTCGGGGTAAAGTGCTGTAAGCAAGCACCTATTCAAGCTGTTATCAGATCGACGCGCACACAACACCAACAGCCGTCACCACATCCATTGTGCCAGGCGAGAAGCACTTTGAGGCCACGTGGAGCGTGGAGGGCTCGCCGGGAGGAGGCCATGGGATAGACTCAGGTGCCTTGGGTAGACTGAGATGACTGGGCGACTGACTCCAACTGCCCATTAGCGTCCTTCACGAGCCGTAGAGGCTGATTTTGACACGAGTGGTACCAGTCATCGGCAAGTCCAATCAGCTCCACATCCTCCTGTATCGCATGAGTCCACCTCTTTTCTAGGCCGTGCCAAAGCCCGTTTATCCCCCTCAATCCATTCAAACAGGGACACGTGTCGTTAGTGAGCGTCTATTAAGGCCAAACAAACACACGAGCAAAGTGCAAGAACCGCGTCTCGTTTAACAGACGTAAAATCCCAGCGCCCCATCTTTGGTTTTACGCAGCATCAGCAAAACCCCAAGGTGTCTCCAATTGGGTGAAACGATGACTTAGAACAGGGCTAGGGCAGAGCTTTTGCCGAGGGGGCAAATTCACACGCTTTGAGTCGGGTCCAATACGAGGTGGGGGGGGGGGCGGTAGACAGAGCGCTGGCTCAGCGGTTTTGCACGCTCTGTGGTGGAAGCCGATAAACTCGTGGTCAACCCGCGGCCACGGCTGACACGAGTGGCATGCGGTGTCCGACACGGTCTGGCCCTCGCCAGATGTTCGCCAACCAGCACTGACTAGCGTGGTGAAGTATTGTTACCAACAAACAACAACAAAACCCCATGACTGATTGGCCTGGAGAGGCCGACAGCCAGCAGTGGATTTACAAATGGATGTAAACCATTTTTCTGGCAAGAAAACAGGTGTTTAGATGTTAAAACACCAAACTGAAACCTTTTAGAAGGAATCATGTCGACATTAACCACAATACTTGTGGTCAGAATGCAAACAAAAAACAAACTCTGATAATATATGCATTGTCTTTGAAACTGATTGGTCCACACCAGAGACAGCTTTCTTTGGAGCCTAGTCTCAAAAGGTGTTACACTAGAGGACGCCAAAAGGCGTACAGCAGAAAAAAGAGGAAAACTTATTCTCATATTTTGGTATTGGCAAAGGAGGTCCCATGATGGATGTAACCCAGCGGTGGGTAACCCGCGTCCCGCCGGCCACACGCATCCCGTGGAGGGGCCCTCGTGGTGGCCTGGCCCAAGTGTGTCGAGGGTGATGCGTGGGGTGATGATTGGTGAGCAAGAACGGTGTCAAGCTTGCGGCCCACTCATCCGAAGGAGGGCAGCCCACGTGGCCCAATGACTCGTCTGGGTTGCCCATCACTGCCGTCGACTCAACACGGCCCATAGACTCAACACGGCCCATAGACTCAACACTGCGTGGGATCATGTTTAGTGCATGAGCACAATGTCGAGCTTGTGGCACACGGAGGCGAAGGAGGACCGCCCATCGACTCGTCTGGGCTGCCCATCACCGCCGTAAATTGTCCAGAATGAGAGAGGACAGCACCTCTTGTGAAACTGATGATGCAGGAATTAGAATTCTCAGTGGGAGGTGGGTAAGGGAATTAACGACCCGCCACCTTTTTTTCTTCTTGGTTCTTTCGGTAAAGTCACGTAGAAGGGAAGTAACAAAATAATAAAAATAAAACATAATAAAATAATTCTCACGACGTTTCGGCCACAACGCAAGGACGGCTGCTTGCGTTGTGGCCGAAACGTCGTGAGAATTATTTTATTATGTTTTATTTTTATTATTTTGTTACTTCCCTTCTACGTGACTTTACAGAAAAAACCAAGAAGATGAATCCCTGCAGTCACGAAAGCTTTAAATCGAAATTTACCCGCCACCTACCACCCCCTCTACTGCTCCACCCGGCTAACTCGTCGTCATCATCATCATCATCAGCCATGGTCAATCCACTGCTGGATGAAGGCCTCTCTAAGCTGCCCCCCATCACTCACGACGACCCTGCGATGGAATAACCCAGCAACACAACGACAAGGAATGTTCGCAAGGTGATCAAACGTCCTCTCTTTGTTTTTCACCATAAAAAAACACATTTTCTTGCTGACCACTCTGTGGGTCTTCCGGACCATTGTGTATTTCCAGCCGCATTCGTTCGAACGGGGCACAAACTTAGTTTTGATTTCTTATTTTTCTAGTTAAACAAATTCCATTTAAGTGTGTTTTCTTTTTTTTGGGGGGGGGGCAGTCACCGTGACCGGGCGAACAACAGCAACGTGCTGCGTTTCAGAATCCAGTTTAATCGCACGGGAGGATAAACCCATACAATGTCAACAGTGCTGGCTCGGCGATCTGACTGACTGCTTAGCCCACCTGGTCTCCTTTTTTTACTTTTTTTGTTGTAAACTCGGTGAAATTTTTTGGTTATCAAAGCTGCCACAGTCGCGGTGCAACGGTCAGCAGCAGTCCGAACTTACAGTCCAGGGGTCGCCGGTTCGATTCCGTCTCTCGGCGGAGCAGTTGAAACGAGCAGCAAATTTCTCAAATTCCCACGTCACCTCTGTCCGTCCAACAGGATGAAGAAATAAGCTCACCGCCGCAGTCAATCGAAAAAGGTTGCATGTGGTGGGATAAAGTTGTGGGTACTTCTTCCAAGTCGTGTGGAAGAGTAGACCAAATTCCCTCTCGAGGGGGATCTCCAGAGCCCCCCCCCCCCACCTAGTGGAGGCCCTTCTGCCAGCAGCGGTGCAAGCGAGCAATTGCAGGGCTGCACCTTTATCATTGCATATCACCACTGACCTCATTTTATACGTGTTCTTTGATATGACAACATTAATTAGCGATTTTCGCGTCCCAAAAAAATACATAATTTCAAGTCTGCCTTTAATTTTTAGAGCGTCAGATCTGTGGCAAATGTGTTTTATTTTTGTTCGTTTCACAGGAGCAGTCTCGCATGCACATCCGATGTCACAACAAGATAAAGAGTAACGGCTCGGACTCATCGCGCCCACGCAGCGTCGCACTCATCTAATTTGGCCTGGGGTTGGCATTGCTCAACCGCTCACCGTAACGCCACCATCGCGGCGCTAACGAACGAGTCGGCGAACGAGCGAGCGAGCGAACGTCGCCTTTGTGCAAAGTGTTTTTTTGCGCCTCTCCCTTCCCCCCCTTCTTTCTCGCCCCCCGCCCCCCTCCTCCTCTCTCGGGGTTCTCCGCTCCAACGCCCGACGAGAACGCCCTGGCAGCAGCAGCAGGAAGCTCACACCCAGGGTCCCACACCAAAAACCCCCCCTCTGTGCTAGAGAGCAAAACATCCCCTCCGATTAAAATCCCTTTGTGATTAAAATACAAAGCAAAACAAATGATTAAATCCCTTCACTGCCCCCCCCCCCTCCACCAACGCCCCGCCCGCCCCCCCTCGGAGCAGAATTGAGCTGCAATCCACAACGGATCAGAAAAAAGTTTCAGTTGACAACCTTTTTTTTACGCGCAACTTTTGTTTCCCCAACTGCTCTCTCTCTCGCGCTCTCCCTCTCCCGACGCGTCTTCGAGTTGCACCGAGCCATGTCCGACGCTTCTTCGAGAAGTGATTTGGGGAAAGCTGAAGCAGCTCCCAGCACTCGGGAGCGAAACGTCGGACATGGCGCCGAACAACTGAAGAGGCGTCGACCTGAAGAAGCGTCGGAGAGAGAGACGCAGCGCGGACTGCCAAAACCTCCTCCTACGTGCCTGTTGTGACGTCCGTGTCAGCCGCGCCCCGAGGCGGATCACCCCTTGTGAGAGAATGGTTCAGAGAAGCAGACATCACAGAACCACTTCTGAGTCTCCCTTCAATTGACTTGGGCACAGCTTTAACTAAGCATCTTGCTGCCGAGGTGTTGACTGCCACGCGACGATCTCATAGCAGAGCGTGTGGGAAAGCGTGCCTACTTAGTCTCGAATTTAGCAAAAAAAATGTTTTAAGGATTTATTTGGGATAGATTTTGTCAAACAATAATAATGATAATTTCAGCTTTGAACGCCGTTGCCGTCCAGTGTTCGCTCGCTCTCAAAGGAGAACAACTCGGAGGCGTGAGCAACCACAGACGAGCAGGAAGGCAGCATCCGTGCGGTGAGCCAGCACCAACAATTGCCCAATTTCTGTGGTCCTCTACATATTGAGATGTTATCAGCCAATGAAGGAGTGTTTACATGTGGGAGGAAACCGAAGCACCGGGAAATAAACACCCACAGGTGCGAGGGGACAACACTCGATCCCACACATATGAAAGAGTCGGCGTCCACACTTGCCATGCTGCCTTTTCCTAGCAAGCCATAGGTATGTATGGCACCTCCTGGACGCCCACGAGAATAAGGATAATTTACAACATCTGTTGCGGTAATCCACCAACCCTCTCTCTGCTGCTTCCACAGAAGCGTTGGATTACAAGGCGGCCACGTGCAGCATCGCCACCAATGCCCACCGCAATTGTTGCCGTTTTTATATATATATACAGTATATACAAGGACGGCACTTTACCAATGAATTCTTCATCTGACGACACGATGCTGATAGCAGTTGGAATTAACTGGGGAGGAAACCCCCTACTAAAAACACGTCAACACGTGTGATCTCAACAGAAGAATTTTTTTTACATTTAAACATTTTTTATCGCAAAATCTGATTTTCCCCGCCAAGCACCTTCGTAGACGCCGATGATGTTGGAGTGGCTCAGCAACGACATGTTCTCGATCTCCCGCCAGATGTTCACCATCTCGCCGTCATCCTTAATCTTGTCCTTGCGGATTGACTTTATCGCCACCTGCAGCAACTAGCGGAAGGAGGAGGGAGGGGGGGGGGGTCGCACTTTAAGCCATCGCAGCCACCGCGATTAAGACGAGGTTCGCGGGGACAGAGAAAATTCCCACCGGACCATCGACGAAGGGGGCGGCCATGGTTCCTTCTTCATCGACGTAAAACTGTACAGGGTTAAATTATTACGTAGATAGACGTACAGGTTATTTTATAAACGATACTATAATGGGACGCTGACGCAGTGTGATGGTTCGCACACTAAACATGTACATCCAGAGGTTTTCTGGTTCAATTTGATTTCTTTGACCTCGCCCATTGAAACAACGGGTGCGGGCGTCTTAAAAGCCTCCTTCTTGCGTCAGTCCACACGGCGGTGTGCAAGCGGTGCAGCCACAGCCAAGTCGATCAATCGGCGGATCGCGTGTGGTGGGGTAAAGTGTGGGTCACTGCCACCTCTTCCGAGACGTCTGGCCAGCGTGGGAGAATGGGTCAAATTAGCCCCAAGAAGCCCTCTCTAGAGCGGACATTCTTCTACGGGCAGTGGCGTGAGCAAGCACTTGCAGTGCTGCACCTGTACCATTTTGATACTCTATAATGACATCTTTATTTGAACGCAATATTAAGTGAATCTCCGAAACGGGCGGCCACGTGCTTCACAGTGGAGACAGCGAGCGCCTCACTCAAAAAAATGTCCGCACTTGAATGCGTCATCATGATTCCCGTCGCGCTGAGGAATTCTGTAGGCGTCACTTGTGCCTTCGGTTCGTTCATGAAGGTTTTCGCACTCTTGCATTCTGCTCCCAAGTGGTTGTTTATTAATTGGCTTAGTAAACTCGAGAATAACAACACTTGCTGAATTACACTCCCAAGATACCCAATTAGAGATAATCTTGAATGCGTTTCTATTAAACGAAGCAATTTTTTATTTTACCAAGTAGGTCCCACTGAGCTATATAGCTACCTGGCCACAAGTGATCGCTTAACGAAGTGGCTTATCATGGGGAAATTAATAGCAGCCAAACTTCTTTTGCACCGTACGTAGCCAACCGTGCTAATCGGATGCGATTCTAATAGTGGAGGGAACAACCAGAGAACCCGGAGGACCCGCAGAAAAATCCACGCCACCAAGGGGAGAACATGCAAACTTCTCAGAGCGGTTGTGCAGTGATTAGCGTACTGCGCCATCAACTCTGTCGACACACGTTCGATTCACGGCCAGGACTAACGTCAGTGAAGTAAAATATTGGTCAAAAACTCCCGATGGGGAGGCTTTCATCCACTTGTGTTTTGAGAACAGCTGGAATGTATTTACTTTCATTTTACGTATTTTTTTCATCATCAGCAGCAGCAGCAGCCCTGGTCACTCCACTGCTGGATGATCTCTTTACTCCAGCTGTTGCCATCTCCCACGAGCTCCTAGGTTGGCAACCACCCACACAGAGCCTGCACACGAGCGGCGCTCCGTCTCCATGGGTGGCACGTCCTCTCGGACACGTTCCACTCCTTGACACGTTCCACTCACTCCGTTCGTTGCCACCCCCCCCCACCCCCTTCCCATCGGCCGTCATCTCCCATGAAGGGGGGAAAAACACCAATAAATACTCGCACGAGCGAGAGGTCTCCAATCACGTGCCAATGACTGGAACGTTTCCCTGCACCGCCCGGATTCATGTAATCGGGCCGCCACGGTGGCGAGATGTTAACTCCCTCGCCTGGTATGCAGGAGGGCCAGGGTTCGACCCCGACCCTGACACCTGTATGTAAATTTGGAGTTTGTGTGTCTCTCTCCCCGTGGTCACGTGCATTTTTCTCCGGGTCCTCTGGTTTTTCCCTCCACATTTAAAAGCGTGCGTTTGGAGTGTTTGACTGCTATACAACATTTCCACATGACAAGCCACTTCGTTGTGCAATCATTTGTGGCCAGGGCGCTTCTGAAAAAGAGTGATATAACACAGTGGGCCTTACCATCTAAAATAAAAAAAAAACATGGTTTAGTTTAATAGTTTACCAGTTTAGTTTAAACGTAACAAAAATACCCCAACGCCAATCCACGGCGGAAACTCCGTTCCTCGCATAATTACACGGAATCGCTTCCACCGTCCGCGGGAATCGTTACGACAGCCAATCTACGCCGAACGCAAACGAGATCTGAGCAGCTCGCCCCCCTCCCTCCTCCCTTAGCCGACCCCCCACACAGTCGCCCCCAATGTACCCCACCAGCCGAGCCCAAGATTTGGATTTCCCCGACGGCAGGGCACTCGCCCCCGTACGAGCCGCCGCGTGCTAATTTTAGGGGGCGCCCCCCCCCCCCCCCTGCATCGCCCCACACGCGGGATGACGCCGGAGATTAGCTGCGTGAGCCTCAAATGGCTCGCCCCAAACGGCTCTTCCCCCGCGCTCGCCCCCGCCCTTGCCTAATGCTTGGCCAATTCTCATGCAGACCTGCATATGACGGTCAACCACGTACTCGCCCACCACTCACTCGGTCACTCACTACTCGTCCCGATGCTCACAGAACGGCCAACCGACGCCAGCCTCAATGTTCGTGTAAATCTTGTACGATGCTTGGCCTAATGCTCACCAAAACTCACGCAGTTCTGTACTCGCCCCAATCAACTCGCGCAATCACTCGAGCAAAGAATCGCCCAACTTTCACGCAACGCTCACCAAACCACCTGCTCAGCTATTTGCCCAATAGTCGCCCAACACTCGCCCCAATGCTCACCCAATATTTGGCCAATGCTTTAACGAACACTCGCCGAGAGCTCGCCCCCAGCCACTCAGCCACCACCACCTTCAACCATGGGCGAGAATGCTACAGGCATTTATGATCGCGAAAATAAAACAATGCCCCTAACTCCCTTGTTTATGATTTTGCTGGAGGGTGTTTGACGCCGTTAGAGTGGTAATTATTACAGGTTGATGACCGTGAAATTGTAATCTACTTGTGCAATATGCACCGTGAGCATGCGGGTCACAGAGTACTTCAATTTGAGATGGCTGGATGAGATAAGAACATTTGGAATGGAACGATCGATGGAGGTGACAAATGATAATAAAGAGTTGAAGATACTGGGGGCAGGATGTTTAAGCTAAAGAAATAAAGAATACGACCAAACCCCATGGCCTTACACAGACTCCGAGGCCCATAGACTCAAATAGATAATCACAGACTCACTCAGAGACCTATAGACTCACAGAGTGACCCGTAGACTCACACAGAACCAGATGTAATCACACACAGAACTAGACTCGCATAGAAACCCATAGACCGACATAGACGGGACCGAGATGGAAATACAAGGTAAAGAAGGTCAGATGTTAGGGAGAGGCCTTTGTCCAGGAAGTTGGACTCAAATAACTAAGAAAAAACTAAGCACTTGAACCTCGAGCAACTTTACCCAGTCCTCTCAAAAAAAGATTTTGCATTCCGATAGCCTTTTGCAAAAGTGAAAAAAACAAATCTCATGAACGTAAAATAAAGTCTTCTGTGGCTTTCTCTGACCTCACTTTTTACAACCACACGTGCAATTTCACACAAGCTCACAGCCACAGACCCACACTGTCCGTCCAGTTGGCTTTGCTCGGAATGTTTTTTTATTTGCTCCATTTTCCACGCCCCTCATTTCATTGCCTTTGTGTCACTTTTTTGACGAGCCAGGTCACTCTCGGAAAACGCTTCTCGATCCATCCATCTCGTCTCCTTGAGTTGTCACCTGGTCAAACAAAGTGTGAAAACGCTGCATTCGAAAGGCGGAGGGACCGCCCGAGCCTGCCCGAGGGAGCGTCGAGCATTCGGATGGCCTCTTCACAGCTCGCGGCTGCCACAATGCAAGTTCAAGTTTCCCCAGAGGAACACGCAACTCCTTTTTTGGATCGCCTGCCAAATAATGTAATATATTCCAAGTGCCTTATGCGTTTGCATTGGCCTGACCAGGAGAGGGCTCTCAAGATAATAATAATAAAAAAAGTCTAGAGCGGATCAAAATCAGAATCTTTATTTCGACTGCAGGAGGAATCCGATGAGCTATGAAGCTCTTTTCCACAGATGTCCGGTATGGGCGGGTCAGCAAGTCACAACGGCGTACAATACCAGCGAAGGAAAGGAGTGCAAAAATCGGGAAGCAAGTAAGGATCTCTTGCAAACAAGGATTGGAGTTCTTCATAATTAAAACGTGCACGTGAAGTGGTGGTGCAACGACCAGTGCACTGCACGACAACCCTACTGGCTACCGGAGCCAGAGGCGAATCTAGAAACTTCTGAACACAGTGGAGGGCGGCGGGGGGGGGGGGGGGGTCCAAAATGTCAAGCCTTTTAAATGGGGCCTTTAAATGGGCTCTAAACTGGGCGATCACCCCCCCCGCCCCCCCCCCCTTTGTCCTCCGCAGCCTTTGGATCCAGCCCTGACCAGCGTTCAATTTTCTTGGTTCTTTAGGTAGTCACGTAGAATGGAAATAATAAAATAATAAAAATAAAACATAATAAAATAATTCTCAAGGCGTTTCGGCCACAACGCAAGCAGCCGTTGTGGCCGAAACATCGTGAGAATTATTTTATTATGTTTTATTTTTATTATTTTATTATTTCCATTCTACGTGACTTTACCGAAAGAACCAAGAAGATGAATCCCTGCAGTCACGAAAGCTTTAAATCGAAATTTAGCGTTCAATTCCCTGCCACGGCTAAAATGGATGGTGCGTCATATCTGGACTGGTCCTGTGCCGAGTCTCAAGACTCATCTTCGGGAGGGTGCTGCGTTTCGGTGTTTGGCCAATTGCATTATTAACAAGTTTGACTTCACATGAAAACGAAGCGGAGAAAACCTGGAGAAACCCCACCACGCACACGAGGGGCAGATAAGACTCAAGGCTCCGCACATATAGATTCAAGGAATCCATTGCTTTACTTCTAGATTCGAAGCTTTCGTGACTGCAAGGATTCGTATTCTTAGGTTTTTTTCGGTAAAGTCACGTAGGTAAAACATTAAAATTAATAAAAGTAAAATA